GGACGCGTCCATCATCCGTGCTGTCCTCCGCCTCCTCCTCCGCCGCCGCCCCGACAGCTGGGGGAGGAGAACCGGAGAAGGCGGTCGGGGTGGGGACGGGGAGGACAAGGAGACGGGCTTCCTGGCAACGGCGGCGGCCAGCGAGCCCAGTCCCTGCCGCCCCCCAGCCCTGCCCCGCGCCCACCTGCGGGCGGAGCGGCGGCCGGGGACGCGCCAGCCGAGGCTGCAGCCCGGCGCCAACGGGAGCGGCTCTCGGAAGGGGTGCGCAGGGCTCGGCTGGGGCTGAGACCTGTTCCCACTCCGCCTGCACCTCGGGGCGTTTCCCCAACCCCCATGCCGAATCTTCCCCCGAAGGGCCACCACATTAAGGATGAATTTCCTTGCACACACAAACTTCTCTCTCCCTCGTCCTCAACACCAAGCCTGGGTTGCTAATGCACCTGCCTGCCTGGTCAAAGGCCTCTTCCAGATGTCTGTCATAGCCGACTGGGGAAAGGTTGCTCTACAAGGGGCTGCACACGTGGAAGCAACTACAGATTTTCCTTCAGCATTGACAAGGACTCTTCCAGGGCAAGGTGACTTGGCAATCGAGGGTCAAAAAGGAAAGGGGTTCTTCAATCAGCTTCTAAACACAAATTTGTCCCAGTTTGTTATCCAGATGCACTGTTTTATGTATATTATTGGTTATGCAGATCAGTAGGTTATATAGGACTGAGGTATAATCACTCAGCAGATTTTCAAACCAAAGCAAGGAATACAGCTTCATCCAGAACAAAATGTTATGTGGTATTCTCTGAAGGGTGCTCACTTGGCAATTTGCCCATACAGTGAAACAACCAGAGTTTTCATGGCTGCAACATATGAAAAAGGGCTGTTAAAAGCCATATCATGCTGTTAATGTCGCTCAATATATTCTTTAAAAAATGGCTATGATCCATAAACTGCTTTCACACAGCCTTTATTCAACTATCCTTAAAGGGAAAACGTGGGCAACAGCAGAAATGACAGCATTCCTAACACGGCCAACCAATTCCCTCCCAGAACATGGCTTAAACGTTCCCTGCTAAAACAGGGAATAAAGAAAGAAGCACAACTGGGCAAAATCAATGTAGACACTATACCGTACCCTGACAATTGGTTTACTCCCTGGAACATACTAGACAATGAGGCTCTGTTTGCTCTGCTCTCACTGGCAGGAGCACAGCATTTCCTCTCAAATGCACTGTCATTATCAACCTGATATATATCTGGAAATTGATTCTCAAAATGATACAATTAGGCAGAAACTTCCCAGGCATTCATTAGTAAAAAAGGTGCATGGGAGTGTAGACCTACCTACCAAAACTTGTATCACAACACTTTATAAAAGATTTGCTTTGCATTTCTATTTAACCAACACAAACAGAATTCCAACTACAGTTGTTTGGAGCTATATAGGTATGAAATGTATAAAATTAAATTAAAATTAATAATCGGGAACCCTATGCTATATCTGAATCTTTTCGAGAACTTTCACTGCAACTAAGTCATCAGCCGCGACCTGCCAGAACACAGCCAGCACCCTGCATGCCCCGAATTCCAGGATCGGCTACCGCCTACGGTTAAGTTGGCTGATTTTAGATAAATATAAACATATACATTTTTTTTTTAACTGGCATAACGAAAGCCAGTTTGAGCTCAAGTCCGAAATCTCCGTCCTCACAAAACTCCGCTGCACAACCTTCTCCCCAGAGGCAAACCCACGTGGCGCCGGGCCGCGGCGTCTCCGCAGGTTTTCTTGTCCAGGCGGAAAAACGGGTAAATAAATGGCAGCAACAAAAGGCAGCAGTCCGGTGGCTCTATGCGCCGGCGCGGGGCTCTCTCCTGCCCGGGGCTTCGGGCAGGGTAACCCTCCCGGCCCCGGCCCTTTCGCCCCGCCGGGGGCCCGCCTCTCCCTCTCCGAGAATTCGCAAACGCGGCTTGAGTTTTGGGAGCGCTTCTGCCTTTTGTCCCGGTTTAGAGGCGTGGGGGGATTTTCGAGGGTCCCCCCTCATACCTGGCGGGTTTGTTGCATCTGGATCCCGAGTAACATTCCCTTTTTGGAACGAGGAAAAAAAAAAAGAGGGAGAAAAAAAGGCTTGGATCTAAAGCATCCGCATTACTCACCACCACGTCTGCTGCCCGGCTGGCGAAATGCATGCACGGAGAGCTGGGCACCGCACACGAGGTACGCGCCGCTGCCAGAGCCTCTCAGGAAAATGAGCTGACCTCACTGGGCCTGGGAGACGGAAAGGGGGGGGGGGGGGCAGGGAGGAAAGCAGCGAAGAGAAGAGAAAGGAAGAGATTAAACGGCGAGAACCCCGCCCAGGCCTGAAGGCTGAGTTAACGTCCCCTCATCTATCCGCACATGGTGGAATAGGATTACAGCGCAAATGGGGGAAGGAGCTGGCTGCACGCAAGGGATGCGCCCTCTTTCTCTTTGCATGCAGGCAATCGATTCTGATCAATTATTTAGCGTCCCCTTCAGGGAAGCCTGCTCGGGCCGGGCAGGGATGCCGGGCGTCTTCTGTACCGGCAGCAGGACGGTGACAGGGCTTTCTTTCCTTTGTTCGCCGCCCTCTCCTGCGCCCCTTCGGAAGAGCCCGCTTCCACCGGGAGGGGTAGAGACAAAGGCTCTCAGAGTTGGTGGAGATCATTCCCCGGGGTTATTTATCCGCCTGAACACAGGGACTAACGGGCCACTCACTCTTTATTCGTGTCGCGTGCAAATCCCGGAGGTGGCCATCTGTTTTACCTTTCTGTTCTGTCATGAGGTGAATTTACCTTTGCTCTGAAGCACCTCAGAGGGCTCTCAAGATTTTACGATTGAAGTCTTTCCCAATTACAAACAAAGAGAAGCAGAGAAAAGGCTTGCTTTCCTTCCCCTTCCCTCCCTGCCCTCCGAGAAGGGTCCCTTGCCATCTGATGGCTGTGCGTGGGAGTGTCCTGGACCCACCTGTGTCTGTGTATCTGTGTGAACATCGGGCAAGAATAGTCTCGGGGGGAGCAGTACTCGGGGTGGGGTCCTTCTCACTCCTCCTGCAGCAGCTGGCAGGTCCGGTGGAGGTCCTGGGCTATGCCTCAGCCCCGACAACGCCTTCGAGGCGGGAGAGGCGGAGGGCACTTCGCTCCAGCCGGGGGGAGACTGGGTTTCCGGGCTGGAAACTCCTCCCGAAGGATAATTAACTGAGGATTTCGTGCCCATAGGTATACCAGCATATACGTACATGCATACGTCTATATACAAACTAAATGTACACCGTGCATACGTATATACATAAATGTGTGTGCATACACACAGGTAAATACACGTATAAAATATACGTATATATGGTTATCTCTGATGTTCTTGTGCGGTCCTTGGGGGAGGGCAAGCTCGGGGAAGGGCAAGCTCAAGGGAGACCAGCTGCCCTCTTTCCAGCTACCCCTCCCCCACAGTCCTCTCCACCTCTTCTGATATGCCAAGCAGGACTCAACGCATCTGAAACAGCATATCCTGGCATGCAGAAAGGTATTCCCCCCATGCAGGTGCATGTCCTTCGACCTTGAACCCAGGGATTGCATGAAGGGGATATATATAGATGCGATGAGGGCAATCAGAAAATAGGACATGGAACATTTATGCTGAAGAAGAAAATCACTGGGATGATGAAAAGCTACTTTTTGAATTCATAATATTTAATGATTGTTTAGGCCTGTGAAACTCATAAATAACAACTGCAATCATACCAATTAAACTGAATAATTGGTTGAAAACATGAGGGATGAAAATAAAAAATATTTCTGGAGTTGAAGTTGAAAAACTTTCCTGTGAAAGCACTGGATAGATTCTGCTAGAACATCTAGGCTCCTGGTCTCAGTGAATATATGGAAGAGAAGCAATCAGGTCATCACAAAAACATAACATTTCGTCTACACAGTATCTTTCAGGAGGATAAACACAACAGTCCATTTAAGCGCTGGACAGTAACTAGCATCCTTTCTGCTCACTTGGTGGGTGAGATCTCTGGATGAACTTTCCACAGAAGAAAAATACGAGATGTGATGACACACCACCTACAATAGGTTTTATCATTATTTTGCAAGGATACAGATTCTTATTTTCTCATAGTAGTGTCCAAATGAAAATCAGGTCATCAGATTATCTTCATCCACATTTTCAGGCCATATGTCTGATGGGAAAGATCAATCTTATGGAAGAAAAAATTGCCCATCTCTCAATGTCATTTGGGACTGTTGATTTTATTCTCAAAATTTCCATTCCGACTAAACTTCATTGCTGGCACAATTATAAAAATTGACATGGGCACAAAAATATTCTACTCATATAATTTACTCTTCTGGGGGAAATGAGTATAATCTACACGAGCTAAAGCACTCTTTTTCTAATATAAGCTGTATTTCCATTAGGAAATTCTCTTCTAGATCTCTGTGGGCATGTTCCGTCACTAGCAGGTCATGATATAAAAGATACAATAATTATATCTACCCTTGAATAAGTACAGTATGAAGAGATCTATACATAAAAGTTAGTATAGTAAAAATTCCCTTTATGAACAGATTTTGTTGTAGAGTCTCT